CCTGGTAACCACTGAACTGTTTTCTTTGTCCATGTGTTTTTTATATTCCACACACGAGTGAAATCATATGGTGTTTGTCTTTCTCAGTCTGGCTTATTTCACTTAGCATAATTCCCTCCAGGTCCATCTGTGTTGTTGCAAATGGGATGATTTTGTCTTTTTTTACAGCTGAGTAGTATTCCATTGTATATATATATACACCACATCTTCTTTATCCAATCATCAGTTGATGCGCACTTGGATTGTTTTCATGTCTTGGCTATTGTGAGTAGTGGTGCAATGAACATAGGGGTACATATGTTACTTTGGATTGTTGATTTCAAGTTGTTTGGGTAGATACCCAGTGGTGGGAAAGCTGGGTCATATGGTAGGTCTATTTTTAGTTTTTTGAGGGATCTCCACACTGTTTTCCATAGTGGCTGCCCCAGGTTGCATTCCCACCAGCAGTGTATCAGCATTCCCTTTCCTCCACATCCTCTCCAACATCTGTTGTTTTTTGTCTTGTTAATTATAGCCACTCTGACTGGTATAAGGTGATACCTCATTGTAGTTTTGATTTGCATTTCTCTAATAATTAGTGATGTTGAGCATCTTTTCATGTGTCTGTTGGCCATCTGTATATCTTCCTTGGAAAAATGTCTGTTCATGTCCTCTCCCCATTTTTTTTATCAGGTTGTTTTTGTTGTTGTTGAGTTGTGTGTATTCTTTATATACTTTGGAGATTAATCCCTTGTCTGATAAATGATTTGCAAATATTTTCTCCCAGTTGGTGAGTTGTCTTTCCATTTTGTTCATGGTTTCCTTTGCTTTGATGAAGCTTTTTAGTATGATGTAGTCCCATTTGTTAACTTTTTCCTTTGTTTCCCTTACCCGAGTAGACATGGTATTCGAAAAGATGTGGCTAAGACCAATATCGGAGAGTGTACTGCCTGTTTTCTTCTAGAATTTTTTTTTTTTTTTTTGGAAGATTAGACCTGAGCTAACATCTGCTGCGAAACCTCCTCTTTTTGCTAGGAAGACTGGCCCTGAACTAACATTCGTGCCCATCTTCCCCTACTTTTTATATGTGGGATGCCTGCCACAGCATGGCTTGCCAAGCGGTGCCATGTCTGCACCCAGGATCCAAACTGGTGAACCCCCGGCCATCGAAATGGAACATGCGAACTTAACCGCTGCGACACCAGGCCGGCCCTTCTTCTAGGATTTTTATAGTTTCAATTCTTACATTCAAATCTTTAATCCATTTGGAGTTAATTTTTGTGTATGGAGCAAGATAATTGTCTACTTTCATTCTTTTGCATGTGACTGTCCAGTTTTCCCAACACCATTTATTGAAGAGACTTTCCTTTCTCCATTGTATGTTCTTGGATCCTTTGTCAAAGATTAACTGTCCATAGATGTGTGGTTTTATTTCTGGTCTTTCAATTCTGACCCATTGATCTGTTTGTCTGTTTTTGTGCCAGTACCATGCTGTTTTGATTACTATAGCTTTGGAGTATGTTTTGAAGTTAAGGATTGTGATGTCTCCAGTTTTGTTTGTTTTTTCCTCAGTATTGCTTTGGCTATTTGGGGTCTTTTGTCATTCCATATAAATTTTTGGATTCTTTGTTCTATTTCTCTAAAGAATGTTATTGGGATTGCACTGAATCTATAGATTGCTTTAGGTAGTGTGGACATTTTAACTGTGTTTATTCTTCCGACCCATGAACATGGAATATCTTTCCATTTCTTTCTGTCTTCTTCAATTTCTTTCAATAATGTCTTATAGTTTTCAGTGTACAGCTCTTTCACCTCTTTGGTTAAGTTTATTCCTAGGTATTTCATTCTTTTTGTTCTGATTGTAAATGGGACTGCATTCTTGATTTCTTTTTCTGCTAGTTCATTGTTAGTGTATAGGAATGCAACTGATTTTTTAAAATTGACTTTGTACCTTGAAACTTTGCTGTAGTTGTTGATTACTTCTAATAGTTTTCTGGTGGATCCTTTAGGATTTTCTACATATAAAATGATATCATGTGCAAATAGCGAAAGTTTCACTTCTTCCTTTCCAATTTGGATTCCTTTTATTTCTTTTTGTTGCCTAATTGCTCTGGCCAATACCTATGTTGAATAAGAGTGGTGAGAGTGGGCACCCTTGTCTTGTTCCTATTCTCAGAGGGATGGCTTTCTGTTTTTCACCATTAAGTATGATGTTGGCTGTGGGTTTGTCATATATGGACTTTACTATGTTGAGGTACTTTGCTTCAATATCCATTTTATTGAGAGTTCTGTTTTTTTAAGAGTTAATTTTTTTTTCCCCTTCTTCTCTCCAAAGCCTCCCAGTACATAGGTGTATATATTTTAGTTGTGGTTCCTTCTAGTTGTGGCACGTGGCACGCCACCTCAGCGTGGCTTGATGAGCGGTGCTAGGTCTGCACCCAGGATTCGAACTGGTGAAATCATGGGCCGCTGAAGCAAAGTGCACGAACTTAACCACTCGGCCACCAGGCTGGCCCCTATTGAGAGTTTTTATCATAAATTGATGTTGGATCTTGTCAAATGCTTTCTCTGCATCTATTGAGATGATCATGTGATTCTTATTCCTCATTTTGTTAATGTGGTGCATCACATTGATTGATTTGTGGATCTTGAACCATCCCTGTGTCCCTGGAATGAATCCCATTTGATTGTGGTATATGATTCTTTTAATGCATTGTTGTATTCAGTTTGCCAATATTTTATTGAGGATTTTTGCATCTAAGCTCATCAGTGATATTGGCCTGTAGTTTTCCTTCTTCATGTGTCCTTGTCTGGTTTCGGTATCAGGGTAATGTTGGAATGTGTTAGGAAATGTTCCATCTTCTTCAATTTTTCGGAATAGTTTGAGAAGGATAGGCACTAAATCTTCTTTGAATGTTTGGTAAAATTCTCCAGAGAAGCCATCTGGTCCTGGACTTTTGTTTTTTGGGAGGTTTTTGATTACTGTTTCAATCTCTGTACTTGTGATAGGTCTATTCAGATTCTCTATTTCTTCTTGATTCAGTTTTGGGAAGTTGTATGAGTCTAGTAATTCATTTCCTCTAGGTTATTGAATTTGTGGGCATATAGTTTTTCATAGTATTCTCTTATAATCCTTTGTATTTCTGCAGTACCTGGTATTTCTCCTCTTTCACTTGTGATTTTATTTATTTGAGCCTTCTCTCTTTTTTTCTTGGTGAGCCAGGCGAAGCGTTTGTCAATTTTGTTTATCTTCTCACAGACCTGCTCTTAGTTTCCCTAATCCTTTCTACTATTTTTTTAGTCTCTATTTCATTTATTTCTGCTCTGATTTTTATTATTTCCCTCCTCTAGATGTAATTTATTTTGAGTATGCCATAAGGCCTCCCCTAGCATTCCTTGTCTCAGGATGGGGCTATTCCCCAGGAGAATTTGGACATAACGTGTGATGCCTACTGCTTTAATCCCATAAGAAACCCATTTTTTCCCTAATCTGTTTAGTATCTTTCTACTGACAAAACCAAAGGTGATCTGCACTTGTGCATGTAGCACACTGTGGCCTTTTGGGCATGCTGCTGCTATATTTTGTCTATTAAAACCAAGGACATTTTGGGGCCAGCACCATGGTGGAGGGGTTAAGTTGGCATGCTCTGCTTCAGCAGCGCAGGGTTTTGCTGGTTTGGATCCTAGGCGCGGACATGACACCGCTCATCAGGCCATGCTGAGGCGGCGTCCCACATGCCACCACTAGAAGGACCTACAACTAAAATATACAACTATGTACTGCGGGGATTTAGGGAGAAAGAGTAGAAAAAAAAATAAAGACAATTTTAAAACAAAAACCAGGGAACTTTCTAAGCATTCGATTATCAAAGTTTGTAGTTACACAGCAACTAGTCAACCAGGAGTTATAAATCAGACAGTTCAAAGACCTGGTAGGGAGTAGTTCCTGGAAATTCCTTCCCAAATGATATCCTTCACAGTAGATGTAACCTGAAAACTTAGTAGAGTCAAGAGACACTGGCACATCACTAGAGTTCCTTTCAGTTGTGAACAGTTAATCCAGCTCATCATCATAATCTAAGACCAAAATGTCCCCCAGAGCCATGCCACTTGGCATTGCAGGCTTCCACTCAACTTTGTCAGGTTCCAAAGGCAGGGGTGGTCATGGCAAATATATGGCTTCACGATTTCAGGCATCTGGTTTAATTGTGCTAAAGACAATATTAACCTCTTGTTCTGAGCCTCTCTCCAGGCACCAAGGTAATGTCGACTTTCCATTTTCATTGCATACCCAATTATTCATCTCTTTACCCTCAGCTACTATTTCTCCTTCTCTCCATTTGTCATTGATTTTTATAAACCGTTCCACCTTTGGAAGGGACATTAGGTTGGGCCACTGTGCTGGTCCAGATTGCCGGCAACAATATCAATCTTGCAAGCCTCTCCGCCTCAGTCCCCTCCCATTCATACAGGATAGGGTTACCTAGGTCCAGAACGAGTAGGCTATTCCTATCACTACGCAATCCAGCTGCATTCACTGTTAGCTCCAATTCAACCAGATGGAGAGTAGACACAACCCACCCCATCAGGCCCTTAGGAATTCTGACATAAAGGTTTAAAAAGATAGTTACAGTTTCTTGCTTAGGGATCATCCCTGCTTCTGGCACTGCAGTTGCAGTCCTGGTCCAGGACCACTGTATCAGGTAGGAAAAAAGTAAGTTGAGATGATGTGGAAAAGAAGTGTATAGTCCTACCAGCAATATCTCCCACTCCCTCACAGATCCCCTAGAAAAGCAGAGGAATCTATCCAGTGGGGGCTCTCCCTTGACCTCCCTCATGTTGAGTGTAAGCACACACTTGTGAAGGTTGTAAGCCAGCCCTTCATGCTTTTATTTCTCCCCATTTAGACAACAAATCTTTCAATTGTCTGTTCCAATTCTCTATCAGGCCACCACTCTGAGGATGATATGCAACTTGATATGTCCATTTGACATGATATCTTTTGGCCCATTGTTGGAACTATGGGCTGTCCGAATTGGTACAGTATCTTCTGTTCCAGTGTAGTATTTGATAGCATTTTAAGCATTTTCATCTACAACCAGGTATGCAAAGCTACTTTAATGTGTCCCTTAAATTCCAACAGTGACTTCCTTAGGGTTATAACCATACAAGCATCCTTTTAATAGTCCAGTTTTTCACTGCCCATTTGCCAGGACACTGGCCACTGCCCATAAGTCAATAAAAACCCAAACACAGGGGCCTTTTCATTCAATTCTTCCATCACTGCAAGGGAAACAGCATGCAATTCAGCCCGCTGACCTGATTTGTTGTTAAGTTCTCCAAAGATTTCCATCAGTCGGTCAGAGCACAGTGGCCTTCCCAACAAACACTGTCTGTCCCCTTTGGAACTGCCATCGGTAGACCAAGCAGCTTTTTGTTGGTCAATAGAGAGCTGTTCACAGGGCACCTCCTGGAGATTCCTCAGGTGCTTCCAACGGCAGGTCTGGCCTTTCCAAAGGCAGGAAAAGAGGCCGCCTGCTGGTGAACATGATAAGTAACTCCTTGCGTTCCTGGAGTAGCATGTTCCTGTGTAAACCACTTCCATTTTATTAGGGAACTCTTTGGGGGCACTGCCTTCTTTATCAGAGTGTTTCTCTGACAGCACTGGAGACATTATGGGTATTTCAGGTTTCCAGGTATATTGTATGTCCTTCAGTCATAGAGGTGGTTTCAGTCAACACCAATAGCAAGCTAGTCATTGTCTCCCAAAAGGCGTATATCATACACATTTGGAAATTTTCTTGTCCAAAATCAGCAATTGCCACTGGGTGCAACTTACAGGCTTTTTTTTTTTTTTTTTTAAAGATTTTATTTTTTCCTTTTTCTCCCCAAAGCCCCCCGGTACATAGTTGTGTATTCTTTGTTGTGGGTCCTTCTAGTTGTGGCATGTGGGACGCTGCCTCAGCGTGGTCTGATGAGCAGTGCCATGTCCGCGCCCAGGATTCGAACTAACGAAACACTGGGCCGCCTGCAGCGGAGCGCGCGAACTTAACCACTCGGCCACGGGGCCAGCCCCAGCAACTTACAGGCTTTTACCATAAGTCCTTCTTATTGGGTCCACACAGGGCCACTATACAGAGAATTGATCCATCTCATTCTAACACATCACTGATTAAAGTGATGATCTCCTTTTGTCCACCAGGTATTCTATACTGTTTCAAATTGATAACTAGTGCTGGCTCAGACAATTGTTTAGGTCCCTTACTGCACAAGGACCCTCCTCATTCTCTCAGCCCTGTATGTCACCACCACCCACAAACCCCTATGACACATGTGCACACATGCACATACACGCACGCACACACACGCACACACACACACACATATACAGCCCTTGTCCAGTCCAGGGAACTTGCCCCCGGCTCTAGCCTTTCTTCTCCCGTAATGGTGGTGGCCTGACTTGCTCCCCTCTCTGCAGCCAGATTTACTGCCAAGGGGAGCTCCTGCACCAAGTTCAGATGGCCAAGCTCTACCAGGACGACAAACAGTTTGTGGACATGCCACTGTCCTCAGCTCCAGGTAAGGCACCTGGGGGTCCCACCTCCTCCTGAACCTTCCACCAAAGATGCAGGCGACAAGACCAGGCAGAGAGAGGGGTCAGCTGGATCCTAGGGTCCTGGACCCTGCTGCTTGGACGCAGCCGGACGCTGCTGCTTGTTCCCCAGACCAAGTGCTGCAGCGCTTCAACGAGCTGGCTGAGGCCCACAACCACAGCATCCCTCAGCAGCAGCTGCAGCTGTTTGTCCAAGAACATTTCCAGCCCGTGGGGCAGGAGCTGGAGCCCTGGACTCCTGAAGACTGGAAAGAGAGGTAGAACCCTGTACAAATGGGCAGGGAACAGGAGAGGGCCCTTTAGGCAGGGCTGCTTCCCTGAACTCTGAGGGGCCGGTGTTTTTCCAGCCCCCAGTTCCTGCAGACAATCTCAGACCCCAACCTGCGAGCCTGGGCAGGGCAGCTGCACCAGCTCTGGAAGAAGCTGGGAAAGAAGGTATCAGTGTCCTGGGCCTGCCCCAGAGCCTGACCGAGAAGGATGGACCTGGGAGAGGGGTGTGCCAGCTTAGGGCCCACACTGCCCCTAGAGCACAGATTGGAACTCATTTCCTAAGAACACAGCTCCCTACCCCTGGGTCCTTGAACAGAAGCTCTCTAGAAAGAACTTCTGAGGGGGAGGAGATGGATGTCCACTTCTAATTCCTCACCTCCTCCCTGAAGCCCGTTCCAGCCTCCCCCAGGCAAACCTGGCCTGTCCTGCCACCTCTGGGCTGCCCAATCCTGCCCCTTACACCAGTGGTAATAGTTCATTCACCTGCTGGGCTCTCTCTTCCCCGAGCAACTCCAACTGGGGCCAGGCTTCTGCTCAGAAATGCTAATTGCTACTGCTGACTGTAGCCAAGCCCTGGGATCAGCACAGTCTGTTAGACACTTTCTCTCCTTTGTCTGAGGCTCAGAGAGGGCAGCCATTTGCCCAAGGCTGTACAGTACCTCTTCTCCAGCCCAGGCCCGAGGGCTCTGGCACCGGCTGGCACAGAGTGGTGCTCCGGACTCCCTCTCTACCTTGGGCTGCTTCCTCACCCAGCCCTGCAGGAACAAACCCAAGTCTCGTTCCACTGTTCCCTTCAAAATAACTGAGACAGGCTGACCTCTCTCCCCCTACAGAACCAGGAGGGAATGAACAGAGAAATACCTGATGTGGACACACAGCAAACCCCACTCTGGTCTTACAATTGCTCTCCCTCAGCCATGTTCATCCACATCTGCCTCACTGGGAAAGGGTTGGGGATTCCGTCCACACCTCCCCACAGAATAGGGGCCCTGAGTCTCTGGGCCTGGCTTGGGAGTGACAGCAGAGATTCACGGGGCACGGGGAGCTGGAAGGGATGGTCCCCCACCTGGGTGCTAATAAAGGCTGCTGCTCGGTGAGGACCTTCCGGGTGCCAGGCTGAGTGGTGGGGGCTCCTACACACCATCACCCTTAGCCAGGACTCCAGAGACCGGCACGTTGGGGACGAGCAGACCAGGCTCTCAGTGGCTCAGGCCTTGACCAAAGCCACATGGCTAGCAGCAGAAGAGTCAGAACTCAAGCAGCTGCTGGGCTCCAAAGCCTGCAGCTGCCAGCCCCAGCCTCCTCCAGCCTCTACTCCGTGGGGGTTCTAGGCCCCCTGTGCCCTCTCTCCTGACTCCAGGTGAAGCCAGAGGTCCTCACCCACCCTGAGCAGTTCTCTCTGATCTACTCAGAACACCCCTTCATTGTGCCTGGCGGGCGCTTTGTCGAGTTCTACTACTGGTGAGCAGCCAGGGGCTGCAGGGGCAGCAGTGGTGGGGAACCCAGGGCCAGCACGGTGTCCTGGGCAGGACGGGGCGCCCTCGCGTGGCCTGGGTGTGCAGGTCAGAGGGAGCTGTGAGGAGATGCCTGAGCTGTCCCTTCCCCCAGGGACTCCTACTGGGTGATGGAGGGTCTGCTCCTCTCTGAGATGCCCGAGACAGTGAAGGGCATGCTGCAGAACTTCCTGGACCTGGTGCAAACGTAAGAGGGGGCCGGGCACCTCAAGGCCGGGGTAGAGGAGAAGCAGGTGCTGTGGGCTTGGAGCTGGACCTGCCTGGGCACTGGCGGCTGGGCAGACGCATCTGAGCAGGCCTGCTTCTTGGCAGCTACGGACATGTCCCCAACGGGGCCCGCGTGTACTACCTGCAGCGGAGCCAGCCCCCACTCCTGACCCTCATGATGGACCGCTACGTGACTCACACCAATGACACCGCCTTCCTACGGTGGGCACCCCTGCCTGTGCTGCCCTGCGGCCCCCCAGACCTGAGCCCTCCCAGGGTGGGACTGGGGCGGTGTGCCTGGGCTGAAGTGATGCTGGCTCCACCTCAGGGACAACATTGAGACCCTCGCCTTGGAGGTGGACTTCTGGGCTGAGAACAGGAGCATCTCTGTGAGCTCGGGTGGAAAGAGCTATGTCCTGAATCGCTATTATGTCCCTTATGGGGGACCCAGGTGAGGAACTGTCCACTCCCCCGCCTGCCCCCTCACCCCCGCCTCCTAGTCTCCTGCCTATTCACTCTGGTTTGAGTGTCACAACCCCCTGGGAAGGACAGTAAGTGACTTATCCCTACCTCTCAGATGGTGACACTGATAGCCCTGGAGTTACTTTGCAACCTTGGGCACCTCCCAGGTGAAACTGAACCCAGCCCCCCCATGCACAGGGCATGGAGAGACCAAAAAAAGATGCAGACCACTCCAGAGGGGTAGGCGGCAGGTTTAATAAAGAAGGGAACTTACTTACGAGGCTTGTCTTGGGCACCCACAAGACGAGCAGATCTCCGCACCTGCCAGCCTGAATCTTCAGTTTATGTAGAGGTCGTAACTGAGTTCAGTTACTTATTCAGTCCGATGGTCTCAACAACACCTTACTCCCTCAAGGCTATGTCCTTGGAACAGCTCCCACTGTGGAAACGGTAGGCAGAGGTACATTCCAAGGACAGGGGAGGGGGAGAGGAGGCTCCAACTGCCCAGGACCAACTTGAGGGTCAACTGGCGGTCACGTCCTCTTGATTGTCTCCTCCAACACCTGGGCAATCCAGGGCTGTGAGGCCCAAAGGGCAGCTGAGTCAACATGGCTCAGTCTCCAGCTTGGGCACAGGGGCTTAGAGCCTCCTAGTGCCAGACCAACCGCCTCCTCTTGCCAGGCCAGAGTCCTACAGCAAAGATGCAGAGCTGGCAGATACCTTGCCGGAAGGTGAGAAGCAACAGGGTGAGGGTGTCTGGGTGGGGCTGGATACCTGCAGTTGTGTCAGGCCCTGGTCCCCCGTGTGCTGCTGCCTTGTCCTCACAGGGGACCGAGAGGATCTGTTCGCCGAGCTCAAGGCTGGGGCTGAGTCTGGCTGGGACTTCTCTTCACGCTGGTTCATCGGAGGCCCAAACCCCGATTTGCTCAGCAGCACCCGAACCAGTAAATTTGTGCCTGTTGACCTCAATGCCTTCCTATGCCAGGCAGAGGAGCTGATGAGCAACTTCTACGCCAGACTGGGTGAGCCTGGCAGCAGGACAGGAGGTGTGCTAGTCCAGCTTGGGTCCCTGCCTCAGCCTTGGCCATAGAGCTGGAAGTAAGAACTTGGGTGAAGGGCCTCCAGCTTCCCAGCCTGCTCAATACCTCACCCCTAGTGCAGCCAGGGCAAGAGTACAAATGGAGCCCACTCTTATCTTCAGTCCCCCTCTCTTACTGGGAAGGCCTTCTAGGGCCTATGAAAGGACACCCTAGGCCATACATCCAAACTTCCTCCATTCCTCTCCCAAAACAACTGCCCTTTGACCACTCAAAGCTAGGCCAGTGATCTCCTGAGGATGGATGCAGGGAACAGGCCAGGGCAGGTCCTGGGAGCCATAGAGGGCATTTTGCTCAGGAAATTACAGGTCCTATAGGCCTGAAAAGTGGTGGGCTTCAGGTTGGCTTGTCCCCTTGGTGCTCAGGACTTTTTTGCCCTTGGGGAAGACAACAGGAAGAGGCCAAAACAGACCTTTCAAAGGCACAGGGCCCAAGGGCAGGGGTGCTGGTTGCTCAGCCTAAAGGCAGTGTTACCACAGGAAATGACACCCAAGCCACAAAGTACAGAAATTTGAGGGCACAGCGCTTAGCTGCCATGGAGGCCATCCTGTGGGATGAGGAGAAAGGTGCCTGGTTTGACTATGACCTTGAGACTGGAAAGAAGAACGCAGAATTTTATCCATCCAACCTTGCACCGCTCTGGGCCGGCTGCTTCTCTGACCTGGGTGACGTGGACAAGGCTCTGAAATACCTGGAGGTGAGGTGGGCAGCAGGGTGGACTGGTACACTGCGGGCAGGACCGCTCACTCTCTCCCTGACTCTGAGCAGTGACCTCCGGCAAGTGGCAGCCACCACCTCCTGCTCCACCCCAGGGGCTTAGCCTGCAGGTCTCCCTGCAGCCACCAGGGGGAAGTTGTGAGCCAAGAAGAGAAGGCCCAGGAAAGCAACATCTGGCTTCAGGAGGGCCCAGCCTCCTGGCTCCCTATCCAGCCCCCACCCATAGTCATAGCAATGTCTGGAACCTTCTAGGACAGCCAGATCCTGACCTACCAGTACGGGATCCCGACCTCTCTCCAGAAGACAGGCCAGCAGTGGGACTTGCCCAATGCCTGGGCCCCCCTGCAGGACCTGGTCATCAGAGGTAGGAGGCAGGGATGGGGCCCATCCCAGGGCTTTACCCCTGTGACTATAGAGGGTCAGCCTCCCTGGTCCTGGGGAGGCAGGAACAGAGGATGCGGGGGCCTTTCTCTGACTTCTCTGCTCTCTGGGCCTCCCACTCAGCAAACATTTACATCCACCCCACCTGTCAGAGGAATAAGCCCTCCCCTCTCCCTCCAAACCCAGGCACTGGATTAAGAACTAGTGGCCCATGGTGCCAGGAGGGAGGTCTTAGGGCCCAGGCCTCTCTCCCTCCTGGAGGAGAGTGAGGCTCAGGCCTCTGCTCCCCCTGGGATGGGGGCTCTGGAGATTCAGGGTCCTGCCTGGGGTGGGGTCTAGGTCTGGCCAAGTCTCCTTCACCTCGGGCCCAGGAAGTGGCTTTCCAGCTGGCCCAGAATTGGATCCGAACCAACTTTGATGTCTACTCCAATACATCAGCTATGTATGAGAAGGTGAGCTGGCCGGGAGCCCAGTCCCACAGGGGCTCCTCCCCAGGTGACATGGGGAACTGTCAGGCTTGCAAAGCCCAGGCCCAGCACAGCCAGGGACGGGGCGGCACCCGGTGGCCATTCTTGGGCACTGCAAGGGTCGGAGCTGCAGCCCAGAGCAGCTTCTCCCAAAGGGGCTCCCATTTCTTGCTTCCCCGAGAGGGCTGTGGTGGGCAGGCTGGAGGTAGCACCTGACCTTAAAGCCCATCCTCTTGTCCCCAGTATGACATCAGCAACGGTGGACAGCCAGGGGGTGGAGGGGAGTACGAAGTTCAGGTGAGTGGGCCAACATCCTCCAGGGAGCTATGGGCTCTGCTGACCCACAACTGACCGTGACCTCCCCTCTCTAGGCCTCAGATTCCTCCCCTGGATGTGGGCCCACAGGCAGGAGCCTGACTGGTGCTCCTTGGTACCCCAGGGGCTAGGCGGGGCCGGAACCTCTGGGTGAACATCCCACAGCCTCTCAAAGGACTTGAGGCCTTCCCCTGAGGTCTTGCCTCACTGGCCATCCTCTCTCCAGGAAGGGTTTGGCTGGACCAATGGAGTGGTCCTCATGCTCCTGGACCGCTATGGTGACCGGCTGAGCTCAGGCACTTGGACAGTTTTCCTGGAGCCTCACTGCCTCGCAGCTTCCCTTCTACTTAGCCTCCTGCTCAGCCTCCTGCCACAGTGACGGCCCCGTCTGCCCTCACTTCCTCCTCTGGCTCCAGCTCCTGCCTCATTAAACCTCTACCTGAGTCCCTACCTTCTCCTGCCTCTTCATCCTCCATCCCTGGAGACTCCATGCCCTCCTATGCCCCCAGCCAGTCCTCAGTCATCGTCAGGTGGAGGCAGGGTAGGGACCTGGAGGTCATGGGTTGGGCCCTGGGTCCCGCCTGGAACATTTAACAAGGTGGAGATCCTGCTTAGTGAGGAAGACCTAGCCCTCCTACCCCACATAGCCCAGCCCGGTGGGCTCCACAACCTGGACTCCCAAGACCTAGCCCTCCTACCCCATATACCCCGCCCAATGCCCCCCACAACCTGGCCTCCCAAACACATACTCCAAATGCTTTATTGTTTTGCTGAGACACTTACAAATACTGAAAATCACCCAGCCGGGCCCAGCAACCATGGCCCAGTGCTGGGAAGGGGGGCAGGAAGGTGGGCTTAGTGTTAAGGCGGAAAGGGCCGAGGCCACACAGCTGGAAGCCTGGTCCTCTGCTCTTCATTTTCATTATCCTTCCAAGGCAAAAGGGAAGGCAGCCAGACCTCAGGGTCCTCCCCATCTGCTGCTTCCTCTCCTGCTCAGGCCTTCCCTCAGGGAGCATCTGAGCAGCTCTCTGTCCCTGTCAGAAACTCAGCCCTGTACAGGCCCTTTTAGTTTCCTCTCCCATTCCCAAACCTCCTCCTCTGGTCTCTAGATCCCCTGGCTTCGTCCCTTCTGGCTCTAAGCAAGGCACGAGTGGAAGGGAGAGGGCTGGACTAGGGGCCCAGTAGGCTGTGCATCAGGGCCTGGAGACACAGGCAGGGGGCAGGGAGAAGGTGTCCAGTCCCTTCCCCCCATCACGAGATGCCAAGGGCCTGGGCTGGAGAGATGATGGCACGTACCCTCAGATGGGCCCACAACTGAAGCAGTGGGCTGAGCCATGGAGCCAGGGCAATTAGTATGTAACCATGGCGATGAAACAGTCACTATGGTGACCATGGTGATGGGTCTGCAAAAAGGAAATGGGGCTGGGACCTCAAGGATGACACTCGAGGTCTCTGGCCCTTGAGGAAAGTAATAAAAAGTATAAATGCGGGAGAACAACGGGGTAGAGCAGGGTTTGAGAAGTATACTGCCTGAGCTGTTACCCCACTCTGGATGTGGCTCTGCTCAGCCCCCAAGGCCCCTGTAAAGGAGGCTGAAGCAAGAGGGGATCTTTGGCAGATTCTGGTACCATAATTTGTCCTTTACAAAAGAGAACAGGGGCTTGAGAGCACAAGTGCCAGGTCAGAGCTGAGAGAACCCCTCTATGACAGCTCCTCAGCCCTGGCTGGGGCCAGGGCAGGAGCCTGAAGGGTTATTTCAAGTTCTGGACTCCTAGGAGGCAGCAAAGCCCCCTCCCCACCTTTTATCTCCTGGCTGATTCTTTAGGGGGCCCGAGCTCAGAAACTCACAGGATGAGCTCCTTATAGAACATTACAAAAATCTTCTTGTACAAAAGCCCCAGTCATGCTCTATCCCCCTAGGGCCTCTAGGAGCACTTCTTTGAGGCCTGGGGCCCAGGGTGCAACTCTGTCTCCAGGGGTGAGGAGCAGCAAGTGGTCAGGCATGGGTCCTGGGGCCAGCCTGAGGGTCCAGGAGGCCCACACCAGTCAGTTCATGAACTGAGTGTAGCCCTCAGCCCCGGTGACAATGACATCCATCCAGATGCGCATGGCCTCTGCTGATGGGGCCACCATGTAGTACAGCCGGTCATGGGTTTTCACACAGAAGGTGAGGGCTGGGTTTGGGCTCTGCCGAGGAAGAGAGGAAGGTCTAAGACGGGGCTCAGCCCCAACCCCCAAGAGCATTCCCCTCACCTGCCTCCCCATCTGCCCTTTCCCTTCTCTGTCTCCAGGACTCCCTGGAGCTTGGGGTTGACTCCTAAAGAGGCCTGAAGCCAAGTGGGCCCCAGGCTGAGATGCTCACCTCCTCACCTGCCCCAGGACCCCAAAGGAGCAGAGATCAAGGCTGTGGTGGGCATCCGAGGCTTGGTGGGAGGGAGGCTGACATGCATTAAGGTAGATGGCCCTTGCCTCAAACATCTCCTATTTATCAGTCCTCACTACCAAATCTATTCTCTGAGGGTCCCCTACTCCCCTTTTAGCCATTCCTTCTGCATTGCCCACCCCCTCATAGGGAGACATCTTGCTGTCATCTCAGAAGAGAGAGGCAAGCAAGCCATACTTTCCGCTCTCTGCAACCCAACTTCACTTCTCCCTCAGGCCAGGGGCAAGGGAGGGGGATTTAGGGGAGAGTAAAGGGTCAGGGGTGAGTTGGGTACAGGAGACATTAATGTGCGGTAGTTCTGGTTACAGGTATATGGGGAGGGGTACCTCAGACACCATAGTGAAGCTGAAAAACCTCTTCTGGGAAGGGGAGAGGGAGAGAGGAAGAGAAAGTTTACAAAGAGAACAAGGAATGGGTCTGAGCCTCTGAAGATGACAGGCTGGAGGCCTTTGCTCCCAGAGCCTTCCTGGGCCCACCGCTTCCCCAGGGCTGTCTCTTCTGTCACCCTCACCTTGGCCGCACTGCGCAGGTGGTCATAGTATACTTCCTCGATGGCCTGGAAATAGATGACCCCCTTCAGCTTCGTCTCATGCTTGTCTGCAAAGGAAATAAGGGCCAGGCTGAGGAGGCCAGTCATACTTTACTTCAGGTCAAGCTCTGCTGACATGAAGCTACCCTGTCTGGGAAATGGGGCGATTCCCAGGACTTCAAAACAGAGCCTGACATGGAGCCCTGAAGATATGGTCAGTGCTCAGCCTCGCTCAGAATTATAAATAATGCAAACTAGAACTCCACCAAGATACCACTTATCACCTATCAGAATGGCAAAAATATACAAAAAATATACAGCTTACTTTTAGCAAGTCTGTGGAGAAACAGGCAGTCTAATAAATGACAGGTGAGAGTATAAATTGGTAAACCCTTATGGATGATTTGGCCGTCTCCACCAAAATTAGAAAAGTGTTTAAGAGGCCAGCCCTGTGGCCAAGTGGTTAAGTTCATGCGCTCTGCTTCAGCAGCCCAGGGTTTCACTGGTTCGAATCCTGGGCGCGGACATGGCACCTCTCATTAAGCCATGCTGAGGCGGCATCCCACACGCCACAACTAAAGGGACCCACAACTAAAAATACACAACTATGTACCGGGGGGCTTTGGGAGAAAAAAGGAAAAATAAAATCTTTAAAAAAAAAGTGTTTGCCCTTTGACCCAATGATTACACTTAAGAAAACTGACCTTACACAAAATAAAAAATTAGCAAGATTATTCACCACAGCAGTATTTGCAGTCACAAAAGATTAGAAACAACCCAAGTGCAGTAGTCCCCCTTATCCATGGTTTCACTTTCCATGGTTCCAATTACCCAAGGTCAACCGAGGTCTGAAAATATTAAATGAAAAGTTCCAGGGGCCGACTCTGTGGCCGAGTGGTTAATTCTGTGAGCTCTGCTTTGGCGGCCCAGGGTTTGCCAGTTCCAATTCCAGGTGCGGACCTATACACTGCTCATCAAGCCATACTGTGGTGGCATTCCACATAGAAGAACTAGAATGACCTGCAACTAGGTTTTGATTTTTGAACTTTATGAACATATTTACCTATTCAACTCTAATAGTAAAAACTGGAAAAAAAGTATACAGCCTCTGGAGGCTGGGGTGGGAGGAAGGAGGGGGACAAACGAACAAAGCAGAGGTGACTCTTCCAGTGGGGAAGGACGGGAGCACTGTCAAGGGGAAGCACAGGGCCTGGGCCATCTCGTCGTGTGGTAAACACCGCTCAGGTGCTACAACTGACATCCTGGACAGCGAGCCTGAGTCACAAAGGTCACACAATCACTAAACTCAGATGGTGACAGCTGGCAGTGTGCACCTTCCCCACTGCCTGTGTCATTTCAGGCCTGAGTCATCGATCCTGGATCTCTGCTACAGCCTCCTAATGTGTCCCTGCCCCACCCTCTGCCCCGTCAACTCATCTTCCCTAAAGCCAAGGGGGTGAGCTTCCTAGAGCAAATCTAATTCTGCTGCCTCAGCTCATGCGCTTCTCTGCTGGTTCCCTCACCAGGAACCTCCTCGGCTTGGCAAAGGCTATTTACAGGTCGGTGCCAACATGCCCCTCCAGCCTTGTCTCACATCCCTCCCCTGCACCAACTCCGAGTTCTGTCTGGCCAGGCTGAGCTTCTCACGGTCCCTTCCAGTCTGCTCTCCCTCCACTGGAGCGGTTCTCAGCCCGTTCCCTTGACAGACTCCTCAGTCATCTTCAAGAGCCATTGCAAATGGCACCACTATGGTGCATGGTTGTGCTCTCCTGTGCTCCCACAGCACAGATATTCCTCTGTATAGAACTCATCATGCTGAATCCAAATCCTCCTTTATCCGTTCATAGGTCTACCTCCTCCAATACCAATAGTTACGTATCTAGCACACAGTAGGTGCTTAATCAACATTGAATGAATGAGTCTTAGGCACTGGGATGCAGGGAAACGTCAGAGACCCTTCTCTTGGGAACCTATAATCTAGTGGGCAAGAAAGCACGGACACAGCCATTTATCAGCTGCATGAGCTTGGGCATGGTTAGGAACTCCAAGAGAGCACCTATGCATCACAGGTCGTCAGGAGTATTAAGTGAAAAAACACATTTGAAGTGTTCAGCACAGTGTCTGGCATATAACATGTGACATCTGTCATATCATTATGCCCCTGGGCTGATGTCACATGGCAGACGGACCCTGTATAATACAGAAGGGCAGGAACCATTCCCAGTAAGGTAGGGCCAGGAAAGGCTTCACAGAGGTAGTATCTGATCTAGACCCTGTAGAATGGAGAAGTTCCATCAAGTAGGTGGGAGGAAGGTCCAGGCAAGGGCAGGGAGAATGGCAGGTTCAAGGCAGGAGCAGGCAAGGCACACCCAGGGCCCTGATCCAGCCACAGGCCCATCTGCATCTGACACTTCCTCTGGACTCAGCCCCATCCTGGCCCCAGGGCCTGGCCACCCCTCCAGCCCCTGTTCTCTCCCATCTCTTCCTTCACTGGAAATAGTAACAGGCTCCTGCCCCGACTTCCTTACCACCCACCTGTCCTCGATCTTGTGCAATCTGGCTCCCATCCCTGTACAAAGCGGAAATCTTCCTCTTATCAAGCTCCAATCCCTGAATCAAATGGCCTTTCTTGGCTTACATTATTCTTGGCTTTACTGCAGCATTCATCATCGCTGGTGACACCCCCTGCTTGCAAATGTCTGCTCCTTTGGCTGGCTTCCTTCCCTATTTCCGCCCCCCTCAATCTGAACTTGGTCTCCTTTTGTTTCATAGACATTAAGGAAGGTCATATACAGCAAGTGCCAGCCCAGCACCTGACGTGTGGCTTCCTGCCTCCTATCCCTTCTACCTTTGCTGGTCCCTCCCCTTCATCTCCCCCACAAAGGTAGGCCTGCCCCAGGGTGCAGCCCTCTCTGGTCCGTCTTCTCTGCTCTGAAGTCTCATTGCCCAGGTTCAGTTTAACCCTGCCTCTTAGCAGCTGTGAGACCTTAGGCAATTTACTTAACCTCTCTGAGCCTTATTTTCCTCATCTGTAAAATAGATGTAAAAATAGTGCTTCCCTCATAGGATTATTATGAAGATTAAATGAGATGATGCATGTAGAGTGCTTAGCACAGCATCTGGTTTATACAAGTGTTCGATAAGTATGATCTGCTATTATTATTACTATTATTGTTATTCCAACAGATTCAACTTTCACTCTGTCTCTAACCCTGACCTTTCTCCTAAATCTAGATGTCCCAGGGCCACTTAAACCTCAACACACCTAAAATAGAGCTCTTCTCCCCTGGCCTGTTCCTCTCAATCCTGACAAAGTCAATTCCCAACCCAGGTGGCAACATGGAGACATTTGTGCCTCTGCCGCTCTTGTCTCCCCACATCTAGGGCCCAGGTGGTCAGGGAACGCTTCTTGGAGTGTGTGGCACTGGCTAGGGACCAGGTTAGAGGGGAAGCAGGGCACTCCAGGCCTGGGTGTCTCCAGGACCAAATATTCCAGCCCTTCCTCCCAGGCTGCAAGCAGCATCGTTCTTCCCAGCTTTGTGGTTGAGTGGGGTTGAGTAACTGGCTGAATAGCGCCACTAGTGACTTGTAGACAGACAGCAGCTGAGGCATTTAATGCCAATGCAAGTCCCAATTAGGCTTCTCTTCACTCTCTGTCACTGCAGCCAACAATGTTCCAGAAAGGCATGCTCTGAAGCAAAGAACACTGACGCAGAGTGAAGCACAGCCACCACCAACCCATGTACATGGACATGTATCAGAAATAAGAAGGAAAACTGTGGTTTTGAGTCACTGGGATCTTAGGACTGGTTGTTTCCGCAGCACACCCTAGCCTCTCCTAAGTAGGGCAGGATACGGCATCACATGTTCCAAGTGGGAACCATCCAGAGGGAACTCCAGGGATGGGAAACTAAGCTGAGGCTGGGTGGAGAGAACTGAAGGAGCATGATGGACCAGTGGGCCTGTCCCCTGGGCTGTCCTGAGCACTTCTTGGCACTGCTCAACTGTTTGTCTTGAAATCTTTGAAGGAACTTGCCCAAAAGAGAATCCATGGGACTCCAAGCAACCACAGTATCTGGGTGCCCCCTACAGCATACTCATCATGCTTTGTTTTAACTCTTTGTTCAGTATCTGCCTCCCTGACAATAAGCTCCAAAGGAGAGAGCTGTGGCCATCTTGCTTATCACCAAATCCTAGAACAGTGCCTGGAACTTATTAGATGTTCAGTAATATTGCTGAATTAATGAAGGAATGAATGGAGGTGAATCAGGCACACTGTACATTTTCAGAGAGAGGAGGAAAAGACCCAGTCCAAGCCCCTGGGGCCCCACTTGGAAGCTTGACCTCATTCCAGAAGACCAGCTGTCCTGGGTGGCAGAGCCCAGGGGTCCCAGATCTGGGGCAGTCTTGTGGGAACTCACCCACATAATAGGAAAGGGTGCGCTTCAGCCGGTCAAAGACAAACCAGCGCTTCTTCCATGATTTAATCTTGCCGCCCATCTTGACCAAGTAGCCACGGCAGACCTGGTGGGAAGCAGGAATAATGAAGGACCCAAATGAGCAGCTCCTAATCCTTTCTTCCCTGAGCAGCGATGTAAAGGCCATCACCTGTGGTAGTATTCATAGGGGGCTGTCCCCAACATGTCTTCAGGCCAGACACCAGGTCCTGGGACAGAGACCTCTGGTGTTCAGGCAGGAACTGAGGTGACTATTCCAAGGACCCAGAAGGTGCCTCTGACCATGGAGTCCTCTCCCCAGCACCCCAAGGCCATGCGTGCCTTGTACCTTGCTGCTGAGCACCACATGCAGGCAGGTATCAACACCATGGCCTGACGACTCAATGTGGGTCTTCAGGTCAAAGTCCTCCTTCCGGATTGGCAGGTAGCGGGTCAGGGGTCGGGCCTGGGAGCAGAGGGGAGAGTCAGCAGAGTATCCTCTCTTGGTCCATTGCTGCCCTGTCTAGGCCCCTTGGTTTCAGTCCTGAACTTCCAACAGTCTGACATCACTCCCTCTCACCTTCATAGCTGTCATTCTGGTTTCACAGGGCTTGTGGCAAAAGCAGACAGACTTAGTGTGCCTGTGCTGATTCTACCTGTGATAACTGCTGAATGGCTCTATGCCTTGGTTTCCCCACCTATGACCAAGTCATAGCCTTTCTTGTCTTGTCCCTGCTCCTTTTCTTCCTCCTGGGTTAAATGGAATAAAGCAAGGTGCCAGATAGGAACATGCTTTGAGAGGAAAAACCCAGTAAGAAACTTGGTCTCTGACTTCCCGTGAGACCTTGTTTGGGTCACATCCTCTTTCTGGGCCTCAGTTTCCTTATATGTGAACCAAGGGCTTTGAAATAGATAATCACTAAGGTCTGTTCCTCCTTAAAAATTCTGATACTATAGAATTTTCAGTCAATTACAATGTTTTTCTACTCTCCCTTTCCAGGAAGAACATTAGAATGTCAAGAAAAGAATGGCATCATAAATTACTTAAAGAAAAAACAAAATGCAAAACTTTCAGGAAGCACCAAAGATGGGCTGACTCCACCCACCTCCACAGCAGACACTGGTGGCCCATGCAGCAATGCCTGAGCCCCAGGACAGGGGCCTAGAGGAGAGAGTCCCAAAGGGGCCTCTGGCTGAGGCAGGAAAGGCACTCATGGCTCCACTGAACTAGGCATTTGGTAAAGATTCCAAGCACAAAGGAAAAACCTAGAGTTTCTGATTACTTCTTAATTCCCAAATGCAATCCAGACGGCCTACGCCTTATAATGAATGTCGTTGCATCACAGGAAATCAGGGAGCTGTGACTGCTGGTCACTCCTGGGGCAAGATCCCACAGGACTCCCACCCTGGCAAGGCTTATGGAGACCCAACAGGAGGGGACACCAGTCTGAGTCCCATATGCTCTCACTGGGGGCCAGGATCTGGGACCAGAGACATGAGTAGATTTCTCTATCCAACCTAATTTCTCCTTCTACCTTCAACTGTTCTGCTCAAGTCTCTGTGTAAGGAAAAAGCCCAGGGTTGATTTTTCTACAGGATGGATTCCTGTCTCAAGGAGAAATTAGTACAATTCTCTCTTGGAGATGTAAACCAGAAGTCAGAGTGAGGTCATTAGCTGGTGGTGGGGCCTGGAGCCGAAAGGTCTGGTGGAGTGAGGGCCAGGACAGCCATGAAGCACCAGGTACAGGACGGCATCAGGGAAGTGGGAGGAAGGTGCAGCGGAGACTCACAAAGCAGAAATGAGGCCCTTGAGAGAGGAGCCACCTTGATTCTTGACTCTCAGCTTCCATCTCTGGGAGGCCTATCCAGAACATCTTCTCTGACCCTAGATTACTGCAAGGTGGCCTGCCATGTCCCCACAACCCACCCACTTCCAACACATGACACAACACACACATGTACACTAGCTTGAACAAGCCCCTGTGGGTTTCTGTTCCTTGGGGCTGAATGAGTACCAGGTAGATTTCTCCTTGTGCTAAGCCAACAGCAATCTTTTCTGGAGTAGAACAGGTTTTACAGCCCAGCAAGGGTACCCCAGGATATGCCTACCCCTCCATAGCTCCACCCTCAAGCCAACCACCGACCACATCCCACCATCCACTCACCTGGGAAAACTGTTTCTCCCGCATCTTGACCTCCTTCTCCACCAGCTGCTGCCTCTTGGCACTCTCACTCTGCAGCCTCCGTTCCACCTGCTCCCGCCTCCTCCGCTCCTCCTCCAGGGCCTGCCGCCGCAGCTCTATCTCCCGCTCCTGCCCACAAAGCCAGGGGTCAGTGCCCTCAGCTGCCCTCTTCCCCATAACCCCAGGCTGCTGCTGGGTGGCACTCACCTCAGAGGGCAGCCTGGCATTTGGAGACATCATCCTCAAAACCTACCCTCTCCAAGGACCTTGCTGTAAGGGTAAATGCTTTAAAGTGAGACCCTCCTGGCTTCAAATGCTGGCTCTGCCACTCGTGTGCTCTGTGACCCCAACAAAATCATTTAAACTCCCTAAGCCTCAGTTGCCTCATCTGTAAAATAGGGCCAAGAGTGCCTACTCCTGGGATTGTAGTGAAAATTAAATGAGATCATGTATGTAAATGCCCATCATTGACTCCAGCAGGCAGGAAGCACTCAATAAACAAATGAGGCTCTTATGATTTTTATCTGAATTCCTAGAACATGCATTATCTAAACAACTTTTTTGACAGCAAATACATCCAGTAGTCCTTCTCTAACCTCTAAGGACCTTTGAAACTCCAAATTAGAAAAATCTGTAGTTGAACTTCAAATTTTATGGGAAAAAATGAATTTATGAAAGCCATTATTAAAAAATTTTAGAAGTCATAAAAACAAATAATTAAAAACACAGCATGTTGGTGATGTTTTATATCTCTTAATAAACAGTAACAACCTTCATACCATTAACTCTCATTTACCACTTCTTCTCAGTTCAAAACTTAGCAGAATCTCCTTTCTTCCATTTGCCAAGAGATGCTTATAAATTTTCCCTCCTTTGAAGTGATTAAGACTGAGAGGCCTTCTTTTCTGGTTGGCCTAGCTGCCAACTCCTGCTCCCTGGGTCCCGGTCTCACCTCAGGAGATGCAGAGAGCCCGGCTGATGGAGACAGAACAGCTCCTGCAGCTCCTCTATCTAACTGCCTCCCCGGGCATGGGTTTCTTCAGCCTAGCTGTGCCCAAGATAAACCACTGGTCCCTCTTTGTTTTGTCCCAGCTCCAGGCCCACGTGAAGGAGACGTGATTTCCCTCAACCCCTGCCACTCCCCAAGGCCCCCAGCCGACACCTCTGCCCTGGCTTGGACATCTGCCTTCTCTTCTATCCCTATCCCTCAACTCCTAGTTCCTGCTTTTCCTAACCATCCCCAAGAGGAATGACCTGCCACTCAGGTAGACAGGAATCAAAATTCCCGTGGTAGCCAAAACGTCCACAGAAGTAAACACACAAAGACTGGAAGTTCCCTTACAGGCAATTCACGATTGGACAATGGTTACTGTGCTGCCTCCTCTTTTCCTAAGAGCTGTGAAACGTGTAACCTCATCAAGCCTCCCTATCCCCCACTTGAGGAATGCAAACTTTTACACCACTTTCTTCCTCAAGGGAATGTTGCTAGGTTAAACTTGGTGAAAGGGCTTGGGCTGGAGCACAGGCTCTAGGCAGGCAGAGAGCAGCTCTGGGGCTCTCACCACCTTCTGCCTCTGTGGCCCAGATATGCCTCACCCTAGACTCAATGAGTCGGCTTTTCTCCGCATGAGCTTCTTTCAGCATCTTCTCCATCTCCTCAATCTTACCCATGTCCAGGCCGCTTGCACTGGGGAGAGAAGCAGAAGAGCAGATCTATCAAGGAGCCAAGAAGCATCAGGCGGGGAGATGGTGGGCCCCAGTGTAGAGGAGGGTAGGGTTGGCACGATTGGGTGGGGCGGGGATCAGGTACCTGGACACGTTGTCAGGGGAGCAGGCCGAGTTGCCCCCTGTGGAGATGCTGGTCTCCATGCTGTCGGAACTCTCCAGGCTCAGTGTGTCATAGGCGTGCTCACCCTCCTCCCCACGTTCCCGCCCGGCTGGCAGGTGGTGCAGGATAGAGTGGTGCATGAGTGGGGGGAAGCCCGAGGGGCCCGCTGGGAAGGGGGCCGCCCCGTGCAGGGCATCCCACTGGCACTGTGCCTCGGCTGCTGCTTTCTGCTTCAGCTCAGCCAGTCGCCGCCGCTGCTCCTCAATCACTTGCTGCCCTGCAGGAGGGACAGGCAGGAGTTACAGTGGGCACCCCACTCACCCAGGGAGGACACTGGCAGCATCACAGACAGAGGAAAGAGGCGAGCAGGAAGAGGTTAACACAGGGCACTCCCTTCACCCCCCACCAACTTCCCTGAAGCCCCCACAGCTCCAGGTCCAGCTGTCCTGCCAATGCTTCAGTCGCCTGCACAATTGGCCACAGCCGTACAGTCTGGCTTCAGCGCTCTTTCTGCATCTCAGGCCCACACAGGGCACTGAACCTGCCCAAGTGGTGCCCTAGCAGCACAACAGCCAAGTGGCTCCAGCTCACAACCAAGGTCTGAAAAAATGGGCAGGACACATGCACCCACCCTACCTGCTGGGGGAAGGAGAAGGAAGAGATGGTGGGAGCCCCAGCAGCACCCAGTGTGTCAACGCAGACCCAGCTGTGATGCAGAAGCAAGAGCACCAGCAGTAGGAAAGAACAGGGAGACAAGGCAGAGCACAGCTGAGGCTGAAGAGAGCTCAGCTCAAGAGGTGAAGCCAGCCAGACACCCCAACCCAGCTCAGCCTGGGAGCCTGCCTGCAGGCAGCGGGGACCAGGGCAGGACACATCATGCGGATGCCTGGGCAAGGGGCTGCCTGGCCAAAGCAATGCCCTCAATGACCAACGCTCTACCTGCTGGGTCGTCGGTTGGGAAGGGCTCGGCAGGAAGCAACTCGACTGGAGTAGGGGCCCCCAGGCAGAGGGTAGGGTAGAGAGACACAGAGGGGATAAGAGGAGAGAGAGGCACAGACATGGGCTTTCAAAACAACCAAAATGCACACAAGCAACATAGACTCCTGGGTCCCCAGAGCCAGTATCTTAGGGAACCATTTCTGGAGGTCATCGAGTCTAACCCTCTGCCTCCAGACAGGGCAATGTTTATCCCTACTCAGGTCAACAAGCATTTCCTTTATTTGCTGGGCTCTCTAGGAAAGATCTCACAGCCCCCCATATCGTTAGTCCCCTACCCTTAGTCTTTTGATAAATGTCCAAGAAGCTCTCCTTTAGCGGTCTAATCTAAATCCTTTCTGCTCTTGCCTACACCCCAATTAAAGGGAAAACATCCTGTGAAAGGTATGGGCATGGATGAGGCATGGTCAGGGAGTGTATGGCAGATATCCAGGGCCTCTGGGAGAGCAGGTGGGCTGCCATTGCAGCCACTCACCCTTCTGCTGCAGGGCCAGTTGGCGCTTGGTCTCAATGTCCTGCAGCGTGGCTGCCAGGTTGCGAGGAAGGCTGCCTGTGCCATTCTGGGAGAGTTGAGCACTCTGTGGAGGGAAATGGAGCACTGGGAGGGACCTGAGGCTCAGAAGACCCCCCCCCCCCCCCCCCGCTACAACCCTCAAGGCTTTCATGGGTGGCTTTGGCCTCTCCCCAGTGTGGCAGTCTCCACCCCCTCTACCACCACCACCCTGCCACACAAGCAGCCCACCCACTGTCCTCAGACCTTTGGGGAGGGGCTACGGCCCAAGGTAGCCACGCTGAGCTGGGAGGAGGAGGAGGAAGAACCAGAGGAAGAGGGGAGGGGGCCACTGCGGGTCCGGGGCAGGGGGCTGGTGGCCTCACCATCCGTCTTGGAGCGGTAAACCTGGAGGGAAGAGACATTGCCTGGTGAACTCTAGTTCCCCCACTGGCCACCACTCCCATGTCACCTAGGCTGGCTGTGATCCAAGGTACTGCCGTGGCACCAGGCCTCCAAGGCCACTGTCTCTAGCTGACAACAGCATTGAGCCCCCTGGGCAAGCCCAATAGGCAGATGTTATTGGCAGCTGCCAGGCCTCCTTTCCAGGCTGTTCCTCCTTAGGCTAATCCCTACTCCAACCCTGCATCTTAGAAAGGACCTTGTAAATCGACCCATGCGAGGAGTTAACATTGGTCAGGAAGAGTTGTACGGGAGACCAACTGGAGGCCAGGGTTCCCTCTGGTCCCAGCTCTGCTACTAATAGGCTGTGTGACCTTGGGCCATGCACCTCCCTGCTCTGGGCCCTGGCTTCCTTATCTGCAAAAGGAGGGGGTAGGGCTAAACTAAACAATTGCCAAGCTCCTTCACAGCACTAATGTTTTGTGAATATGGTCTTTGGAGTCCAGAACCCTGACTCTCTGTGTAGGCTCTGCTACTTCCTAGATGTGTGGCCTTGGGGAGATTACTTATCTTCTCTGAGCCCCAGTGTTTGATCTGTAAAACAAGAGTTAACTTTATCTACCTCAAAGTGTTGTGGTGACAATTAAATGAATCACAACATGTAAAAATCTCTAACCAGCTGGGCTCAAAGCAGAGGGGCTACACATGTTACATGAATCAAACTCCTCCCAAAGGGAATATGGAGTCTTAGCTAAGATCATAGTGTTAGAGGCGCAATACCTTCACTCAAGGAATGAATCTTGAATGGTGGGGTCTTAGGCACTACAGCAGGTCAGTGGAGTGAAACTTGTGGGGGAAGACTATTGAATACTCTTTCTCCAGCCCCATGGTCAGCAGCTTGCTGTAGGCTCAAGTAGGCCCATGCCCTCCATGACAACTCTGAGGAGGCTTGGGCATGTCCTCAGGGCTATCACTTCACAGTCTTTGTCCCCCTCTATCCTGCCTCCAAGTGTCACCCCTGGGGAGACTAGTAGAGCAAAATGCTGGCAGTTCTCTTAGGACGTACTAGTTCCAGTTGCAATCGGCTCAAGAATGTGTCAGGCCCCCAGACTGAGTGAGCAGCTCTGGGGTTGAGAGCTACCAAGGACAGAGCAGAGCCACAGTCTAGCCCAGCACAAGGGACCAAATAGATCCCAACCTGACCACTGCTCTTGAACCCCCTTCCATCGGACAGTCAATCATGTTACCCTCGAACTCCAGCTGTTCAAAGTGCCAGGATGGCTGCCCATGAGGAGACTCTCATCACCCTCTCAAGGTCCAGAGGCCCCTTGTTGCCCTGGCTGGACTGACCCTCCCCCACCAATCTAAGGTGGCAATGAGTGGCTGACGGATTAGCAGGAGATACCCAGAGCAGAGAGGAACAGGGACTGGAGAGAGATGGGCAGTGAAGGAGGGGGTTACCTGCAGCTGACGGGAAGCTTTGGCAGGCAGAGGCGGGGGGGAAGAGCGAGGGGAGGCTGCAGTGGGGCCAGTCCCCAGCCCGGCCATCAGCTCCTGGTACCACTGCTCTAAGTCTACAGCAGGGAGCAGCAGCTTCTCCATCTGGAGGAGGGCATGGGGAGGGGGACAGGTACAGGAGGGAAAGAATGGAGAGGAAAGGTCAGGAAATGAGAGGGAAAGCAAAGGGAGGAAGAAGGAAGAAAAGGGAGAAGGAAGGGGAAAGTTGGAGGAAGGGTAAAGGAAGGCCATTATCAGGGAAATGGACAGGAAGGTGAGGGAAGAAGGGAAGGAAGGGCGAAAGGAGAGCATAAAGAGAAGGAAGAAAAAACAGTGAGAAAACAGTTGCCGTGAATGTGCTAAGGGCAAAGAGAAACAGTCAGGGCACAACTCCCAGACCACAGACGTGCTATGCCGACCATGATACCAGCCAGCCAGAGCCCACAGGCACTGAGCACTCCCCTGGGGCTGGCCTACAGCTGAGAAGCCGGGTTAGCAGGGGCAAAACACACACAGACAGAGCCACACCAGTAGTGGGCCTGGGGTGGCAGGAACACACAGACCACCAACCTTGGGTGAAGGCGTGATAGAAGCGAAGGAGGAGGAAGAGGGCAGCACGGGAGGAAGGCAGGTGGTGGGAACCAGGTCCCAGGAGGCAGAGGCCCAGAGAGGCAGGCCTGGCGCAGGGGCTGTGGGCATGGGCAAGGTGCCCCACATCGCCTTTAGCTGCTCAAGCGTCACGTACTTGGGGGAAGGCCGGGATACAGAAGGGAATACAAGAGGTTAATGGGACTAGAACCCGAGATGGCCCTGCTCTTGGGCAAGGGAAGGATCAAGGTAGGAAGCACAGAGCAGAGGCTTGCGGAGCCTGGGAAAACCAGAGTCTTCTCAGCACGATGCCCTCATGCTAGAGCAGAAGGTCTGGCCCTCCCTGAGCTATCAGGAGCTGAAGAGAGTCCCCAAGGTAACGGGGAAGAGAGAGAACCACTCCCAACCCCCCTTATGCCAGCTGCCCTTCTCCCTCACTCTTGAAGACAGACCCTGCTGTCCCCCCACCCCCACCCATGCCTGAGGGGCAATCTAGGACATTCAGAGTAGGCCCTTGGGCACAGGTGGGCTCACTCAGTGTCTGGTACCTCACTGTCAGGCAGGGGCTGGGCGAGCACGCTGGGGGAGGTGGCAGAAGCATAGGGGTCCAAGCGGGAGCACAGCTGGAGAACCTCTGCCAGGCTCACATACTCCTAGGGTGCCCAGTGGGAGGGGGAGGGACAGGCAGAGAAGAGGTTAACAGGGTTCCACCAGGTACCCGACACCCAAACTCCATGCCATAGGGCCATCACTGCATTCAATACAAAATCCAGAACAGGGTTGGAGAGCTCAGCTGCCC